AAAAAAAAAAAAAAAAAAAGCAGAGCCAAAAGTTGATTTAAAAGCAAGGAAAAAAAGGATTTACAAAAGGCAAAGAAAATTGAAACAGAAGATGAACAGTGGAAGTGCAAAATAAATAAGTGGAAAATTGTCTTCCCATCAGTGTATATTTATTCCCTATTTGGAGTGTAAATACATCTAGTATGTCTAACTAGTGTGCCATTTAAAAGAAAAATACCTTTTACTTTTTTCTAAATAAAACACTATCCAAAATAAATAAATAAATGAATGAATGAATGAATGAATGAATGAATGAATAAAACACTATCACCAAAAAAACCCCCCCAAAAACAAAAAACTATCAGATATAGGATAGATTAACTGGGCATGGTGGTGCTTACCTATAATCTCAACTACTCGGGAGGCTGAGCTAGGAGAGGGATCACAGGCTTGAGGCCAGGCTGGACAACTTAGTGAAACACTGCCTCAAATGAAAATGAAACAAACTGTGGCTCAGTGGTAGAGTGCTTGCCTAGCATGTGCATGGTCTTGGGTTTAATCTCCACACAGAGAGAAAGGGAAGAAGGGAGGGAGGGAGACAGACTCATGGCTGGATGAGAAAAGGGATGCAGAAATGGAGAGACATGTGATGAAGTTGGTAAAATGCTAGTGGTAAAGTTTAGTGCTGAATAGCTATAGATATTCACTGTAAAATTGCTTCAACTTCTCTGACTGAGGGGCCGGGGAGTTGGCTCAGTAGAATAAGCGCTTGCCTGGCAAGCCCAAGTGTCTGAGTTCAATCCCCGGTTCCGCAAAAAAAACTTTTCTGACTGAAGATTTTCATAATCAAATAGAAAAAGTAACAGTACTTGAGCCCATAACAGAAACTGATCTAATAGTGAGGGCTAGAGAACAGACTGTCCAATAGTGGTATCTATAAGTTTTTATCCAGCAAAGAAGAAAACAAGAATTTTCTGATAGCCCGGGTGGGATGTGAAAGAAGACACACAGCTAGACTTCGGCTAGCAATCTTTCTGCAGCGCCCTCCAGATCCGGGCACACTCACATTCCCCTGGGCAGGGGCAGCATCTGGACCACTGGCTAAGTGCACACGCCTTCTGCCCTTGGCCTGGTAGGTCTTCTGCCCTTGGCCCGGTAGGCCTTCCCTCCAGCGGGCAAGATTGCTCCCTGTCACGCAGTTCTAAATTGCCAGGTCTCAGTCCTTGTATGAGGGCACATTTTTAATAACCCTGGGATGCGTGGTAGTGATGGCTGCAGGCACAGGGAAGGAGATCTCTGAGCTCCCTCTTACAAAATGCCAGTCTTGGCTGCTTTGCCACGGAACGGCTCTGGAAGCTCCTGGGTCCTGCCTATTTTACTCTGTGCCCCCCTCTCCATACTGGGGAAAGGAAGATGAAGAGCGGGCACCTCACCCCTCACTTACCTTCACGGGGGACTGCAGGGATCTCACTCTCTCCTGGGCCTGCCTGATCCTTTGTGTTATGTTCTCCTTCTGGTTGAATCTGAGATAAGACATCAGGTTGACTCATGGCATAATCTGAGAGGAAAGAGGGACAGAGACAAATGAGCATGACAGCTCACTGCTGTCGAGAGTGAGATCTACAGTCCCAGGGGATGTCTTTTAGTCTGAATCACTTTTCCCTATCCACTTACCTCCAGCTAAGAAGACAGGATTGGGAAAGGCACACAAGCTAGGCTGGCTCTGCCCTCGGGCTCCTTCCCTGGAGCAGGAATGACAGTGTGCCTCCACCTCCGTGGGCAGTCAAGCCCTTGTCCACGTGATGGACACCCAGGGAAGCACACTCACCCAGCAGGCACACTCGGCCCTGAACTTTACTCTGTCCCACCATTTGGCAAAGGAGAATCCTGATTCCCACCTAGTGAGTGTGAATCGGTCTCTGGGGCCTGGAACAAGGCTCAGGCGCTTGAGGACAGGGTGGGAACAAGGACACTGGAGGAAGGAGGGCTGCTGGGGCCAACTCAGCCTCACCCATGGAGATGAGAGATTCGTAGTTGCCCTTCATGATATTCTTGTAAAGTTCCTTTTGCCACTCTTCTAATTTTTCCCACTCTGGAGTGGAAAAGTAGATGGAGACATCATCAAATGCCACAGGTACCTAAAATCACAATCACATGGGTTAGTCTGCCCCGTTGCAACAAATTAAAAAATCTTCCAACTGGTGCTTTATTCCTTTTTTACATTGTTCAAGGGTCATCAATAAAGATTCTAAAGAGCTCTGAAATGGTCTCATTACCGCTCCTCAGGAGTACAGCCCCGAAGTCCATGCTCATGCAACACAGCGTGGAGCCAGCACCTTTCCTGAGGGACCTTCAAGCACTTTGCACACAGCAAGAAAACAACTCAATGCCATTCATGTTAAAAATTTAAGTTTTGGGGCTGGGGAGATGGCTCAGTGGAATAAGTGCTTCCTTGGCAAGCGCAAAGGACTGAGTTCAATCCCCGGTTCCACCAAAAAAAAAAAAAAAATTTAAGTTTTATTGAGCTTCCTCGTATCACCTTTTTATTATTGTTGTTTGTAATTCAGGCTGGCCTTGAGCTCTGCATGTAGACCAGGCTGGTCTCACATTCGTGATCCTCCTGCCTCGGCCTCCCAAGCACTAGAGCTACAGACATGTGCCACTGGCCCTGGCTGCCTTTCCTTTCCAACCCTTGGTTTCTGAAGAAGTCTGGCTCGCCCAAGGAAGGACCGAGGGAGGGAGTCCTTTAGTTTTTCTTGTGTCCTGCGCCAGTGCACTTGGAAATGAGAAGATCACAGAAATCCTCATCGGCTGGGTTCCACACTTCTTTGTAGAGTTGTGAATGTCCCTTTTGATCTTGCCTGAGATTTTGACCACTGAGAGATGTCTGTTCGTTCTCTTCCTCCAGGCAGAATCTGATGTTTTGAAGGCTTCTCCCTCTTTCCTTCCCAACAGCGCTTTTTTCCACTTTGGATCTTTGTTGGAAATAGAGGGTGTGGGCACCACAGGCTACCCTTGCGTGTTCTTCAAATGGAACCCTGTGTCCACTGAATGGCTCTTTCCACTCCCTCCCTGCTGACCTCTCAACATCCACTTTCTCTTGCAGTCCCTTCAGTTTGTTTTCATGACAGATTTTCTCTTTCTAGGCAACTGCAGCTCACTGCAGTTTCCCGTACTTTTTCTTCTGTTTTGGCGGAACCAGGGATTGAACTCAGGCCCTTGCGCTTGCCGGGCAAGCGCTTATTCTGAGCCATCTCCCCGGCCCCTCTTCTGTTTTTCTTTCACCCACCATGTCTGTTGCTCTCCCAGTACCTCTGCAGCTTCTCCTTGCACTTCTTCAATGTGGGCAGGTCCGACCTTTTCCTGTGTCCTTCAGCGTCTGCTTGAACTCAGCACTGGGTTCTGTCAAGTGAGGGAGGGCATTGGATCTGCACACTCATTTCCTATTTCAGGTCAGAATTTTCATTGCTCTCATTCCTTGTCATTTTCCTTTACTTTTTTTTTTTTTTTTTTTCCTGTGTGTGTGTGTGTGTGTGTGTGTGTGTGTGTGGTCTTTTTGAGACAGGATCTTGCTATGCAGCCGAGGCTGGCCTTGAGCTCACTTTGTAGCCCAGGATGGTCTCAAACTCACAACAATCCCTGGCCTCAGCCTCCTGAGTGGTGGGATGACAGGTGTGCGCCACCGCGCCTGGCTTGTTGATGAAGCTTTACCTGAGTGTCCCGATGCTCCCTTGGGGCCTGCTCATCTGCTCTCAGAAGCCCACAGGTTTTGTTCATGCCACTCCTTTCCGGTTGCTTCTAGACATCATTTTCCTTAAATCTGCCAATCTATTCTTTTTTAAATATTTATTTATTTATTTATTTTGTGTGTGTGTGGCCAGCTCAGCCCACCAGGGGGTGGGGCTGGCTGGCATGTGGTGCTGGGGGATTGAACCACGGTCCCTGTGCTTTGCTTAGTTTAGCTTGTTCTAAGTAGGTGCTTTAGACCACTGAGCCATCTCACCAGCCCCTGCCAATCTATTCTTAAAGTCCAGCTTCTCACTTTGTAAATCCATGTTTCTGATACCTTTATTCCTTTACATATTAATTCACAATCCTTTTATTTTCCTCTTTTAAAGAAGATTTCACGGGGCCGGGGAGATGGCTCAGTGGATTAAGCACTTTCCTGGCAAGCTCAAGGGCCTGAGTTCAATCCTGGTTCTGGAAAAAAATAAAAAAATAAATAAAGAAGATTTCACTACGTAGCCCAGCTGGCCCTGAACTCCTGGGCCCACCGTGCCCAACTTCTCTTCTACTAGAGTGTCACGTAGTGTTCAGGGCAGATCCAAGAGCCTCACAGTCTACCCTGTCCACTTGCAGTCTTAGTCCTTTTCTTTTAGCTCGCTCCTACGTATCCCTGCCTCCCGTTTATCTGTTATGCCTAGTTAGAATACTCACAGGTTTATTCTTTTTTTGGTACTAGGAACTGAACCCAATTCTTGGGTTGTCATCTGAACTACGCTTCCCTTTCAGTCCTCATTCTGAACCGGGCCTTCCTGCGGACACTTCTGCCCCAGCCGCCTCCGTGTTGCTACTCCAGGCACAGGTCACTGCACTGTCCATGGCTTGAATGTTACATTCTTCAATGTATTTCTTGTTCAGTTTTATGCAATTTACTGATTTTAAAAGGTATTTTGTTTTCTTAGTGGAATTTCTGATTTTTGATGTATTTCAGTCTTTAACAGTCCTACTTTTTGTGGAGTTAATACCCGCAGTTCATTTTTCCAGTCTTTACTTTTCTCTAGTTCTCCTCTTGGCTCTTTAGGCATAGTTTACCTTTTTCTTGGCGAGTCTGCTCGTCACTGATTTTGTAACTGAATTATGTATTCACTCTGCCACTTGTGCGCTCAGCTCTGTCTGAGGACAAGATTTATAAAGTTCACACCCTAGCCCTCCAGCACTGAGAATTTGTCGGCTCACTGTCTCCACCAGGAGAACATGTGAAGTGGCCACGCTGGACGGGAGCTGACACCGCGTAAAGACACGCTCTGGCTTTCTTACAGTCTTTTTTCTTTCCAGGAGTTTTCTGACTTCCTCCTGCTAAGGCAGAAACTAGGCATGTAAAATTATACCAGACTTGCGCCCGGCCCTCACGGTGAGCACACGTGAGGCTTAGCAACGCAGTGCGGCTCCGAGTCCTCTCAGCAAGGCGGTCCCACACCCGGGTGCGTGCACAGCTCACACGCCTGGCAGGAGGAAGACTGGGGCTGCGGACAGGAAAGGTGGCGAGGCGGCGGCAAGCAGGAAGGCAGAGCGGAGGGCCAGAAACCTGAGGAGTGAGGACAGCTGTGACGGCAGACGGCACCTGGGGCCTCTCTCCTTGGAGGGAGACGGGACCTTCACCTGCCACTGCCCACTCCAGCCCCTCACTCAAAAAACCTTTAAGTCTTCACTGGGTTGCAAAAAGCTATGTGAAGGAAAGAAAGGATACAGAAAAAACATGCTTCAGCCTCCAGGTGTTCAGTGTTTTCACAGGGAAAGGAGATAAACTCTAGGCTATGAATTATGGGAGAGTGGAGACCATTATTTCTAAACAATCATGAATAAGTTAGGAAAAACTGCCAACACAATATTTAATTCATGTAAGAGAACAGTCTATTATACACAAGGTCCTCCCTAAGCACCAAGACCACTATAAAAATATGGTTTCTGAAGGGGCTGGGGAGCTGGCTCAGCAGGATAAGCGCTTCCCTGGCAGTGCAAGGGCCTGAGTTCAATCCCCAGTTCCGCCCAAAAAAAAAAAAAAAAAAAAAACTACGTTTGGGGGCCTGGCCTTAGCTCAGTTGTTTAAGTGGCTGCTTCCACAAAGCTGTCAGCCTCCGGTTGCTGGAGTTCGATCCCCACAACACTCCAGCCAGCCAAACCACCCCTGAGGGCATTCAGAGCAAAAAAATAAAATAAAATAAAATAAAAATATGGTTTCTGAGCCAGCTGTGGGGGCCAGGCCTATAATCACAGCTCTCTAGGAGGCTGAGGCAGGAGGACCACAAGTTTGGGCCATGCTTGGGCAACCTAGTGACTTAGTGAAACCCTGTCCAAATTAAAAAAAATTACAAAGGGCCTGGGATATAGCTTAGTGAAAATGTCCTAGGTTTAATCTCTAATACAACAAGAAAAAAGGAAAGACTTCTACCCCAAAGGGGCATAAGACTAGATAGGCACTAATGACACTCACAATGGAGCTGGGCTGACCCTAAAAGGGATGGGACAGAACTCTGACTGTCCTCATGAGAATGGGTCCTCATGAGAATGGGGGAAACATTTTTTTCCTCTACCTAATTTTTATTCTATTGGCATATTTTAGACATACACGATGCTGACATTCATTGCTGGCAATGTCACCTGTACGTGATATGTCCTGCTGCCACTTTTTCCTACTCCCCTTCCTCCCCTCAACCCTCTGGAGGGAAAACATTTAACAAGGAAAACCAAGGTGTGCTTTCTGAGGACATGTATGAGTTCTGCCTAGCGGGGCCCAAGTTTTACAGAAGGGAAGCCACACGCATAGGCTGTCCTAAAGCACATAACCCTCAACAAAAACTAGGAGGCTCCCGAGATAAGCACAGTGCCAGAGTTAGGGGACGCGAAGCGTCATGCACGGGCAGCTCTGCACCCTGGCTCTGGGTAGGGTCACCTGGCTTCACTGCACCCCACCCCCAGCAGCTTCCACAGTTGGTTCTTATGCAGGAACTGAGTATCAAGAAAAAACAGAACAAAAGGAGAAAAAATTACCATGGGGGGTGAAAAGCTTTCAATCAGTATTCCCATAAACAGTTGAGAAGACAATACACCTGACAGTAAAAACAGACAGATGAGAAAAGGAGGCTGCCAGTGTATGTGTGTGTCATTGTCGTGTATGTGCAGGTACATATGTGTGTGTGTGTATATATACATACATATATATATATATATATATATATATATGAAGGTTTTCTAAGAGAACACAAAGTTTTAGGGTACACTGCATGCATAGTACAATAAAGGAAAAAATATATTTTAGGACAGTTTCAATAATTAATACATTGTGGGCTGGTGAGATGGCTCAGTGGTCTAAAGCACCTACTTGAAACAAGCTTGGCAAAGCACAGGGACCGTGGTT